CTCCCGACAGAGCCTCCGCAGCCACCAGAAGCCCGCACCTCGGATCGGACAGCGGCGCGTTTGGAAGGACAGCCGTCCCCGATGGAGGTAGATGACAGCAGCACCAGCCCCCTGGCGACAGCCCCCTTGCGTCAGCATCCGCCGCAGCAGCACCAGCAGCCCCCTGGCGATAGTCAGGAAGATCCCACTTCAGACACTCCTGGAAACAGCATCGGTGCGACAGTTGGCGGCGCCGCAGGGGGCGCGCCCGCGCTCGCAGACGCCCCTCGCAATTCGTGCAGCCTGGGAGATGCTTCCAGGCGCGGCCGTCTCTCGTGGAAGGATCCCAGGGGAACGAGGCACCCCTGGCATCCGACGAGACGGCCATCAGCCGTATGTACCTGCAGTCTCCGACGTGCATCGCTCATGCGGCCATCAGCCGTCCCCTGGCACTCTCTCTCTCTCTCTCTCTCTCTCTTTCTATTTCCACTGGGAAAGGATGAGACGGCCATCAGCAGCAGGTACCCGCAGACTCCGTCGTGCATCGCTCATGCGGCCACCCAGCCGTCCCCTGGCACTCTCTCTCTCTCTCTCTCTTTTTTTTTTTTTCTCTCTCTCTCTCTCTCTCTCTCCCTTTCTCTACTGGGAAAGGATGAGACGGCCACCAACCGTAGAACGGAGGAGGCGGCCATCAGCCGTGCGTCCTTGCAGTCTCCGACGTGCATTGCTCCTGCGGCCATCAGCCGCCCCCTGGCGCTCTCTCTCTCTCTCTCTCTTCTCTCTCTCTCTCTTTCTGTTTATCTCTCTCTCTCTTTCTCTATCTCTCTTTCTGTCTTTATTTGTTTTGTCTTTGTTGTTCTCTCTCTCTCTCTCTCTTCTGGCCCCTCTCTCTCTCTCTCCCTCTTTGTCCCTACCAGAAGGACGGGGCGGCCATCAGCCGTATGTACCTGCAGCATGACTTGCATCGCTCATACGGCCATCAGCCGCCCCCTGGCGCTGGACAGTCCTTCAGGACGCCTTCTAAGAAGGACGGGGCGGCCATCTGCCGCATGTACCTGCAGTCTCTGGCATGCATCGCTCATGCGGCCATCAGCCGTCCCCTGCCGCTGGATAGTCCTGGAGGACGCTTCCTTCCCTTCGCCGGTAAGGCGATGTCAGTTCCCACCTGCCCCGTCCTCCCCATCCCGCGCAGAAAGCGCTTCCCTCTGAGCGGCGGCCCCAGCACGGGCCCCCTGGCCAGTTCCCTCGCTTGCGTCTGCAATCCCTGGGCATCTGGCCTACGGTATTTGCCTCAGCCGGCCGTGTCTGATGCTGGCCCTTTGGGGTTACGTTTGCCGTCCTATTCAGGAGTGGTTCAGCCTTCTTGCAGTGGTCAGCGCACCCCCCACTGGCGCATCCTTACCGACCTGTCGTGGCTCGTACCTAGCCAGAGCTGTGGCCCTGACCCCTGGCGCCCTGTGGCGACAAGGTCCGGCAGCGTAGTTGGTGATTTCCTCCCACGGTACCCACTTCGAGTTTTAGTGTGCTTGCACCTCTCTGACTCTGTCCTTCCTGGTTGCGCGCCGCCTCCTCGGGTCTGACCGTCTGGCGGCCCCGCCTCGCTGGGCGGACGTTTGGTCTGTTGATACAGACCAGGTCACGACGTCTCCTGGCGCGCAGGATCCAATTCACCCAGTTGTCTTTCTGGGTCTCGCACGTGCGCAGTCGCTAACAGTATTTGCCTCAGCTGGCCGTGTCTGATGCTGGCCCTATGGGGATTCGTCTGCCGCCCACTTTGGAGTGGTTCAGCCTCCTTGCAGTGGCCCGCGCACCCCCCACTGGCGCATCGTTACCGCCATGTCTTGGCACGTACCAGCCGCGGTGGCCCTGACCCCTGGCGCCTGTGGCGACAAGGTCCGTTTGCGTACCTGGTGACTTTCTCCCACGGTACCCTCTTGAGTTCGACGGCGGTTGCACCTCTCGGACCCTGTTCCTGGTTGCGCGCCGCCTTCCCAGGTCTGCCGGCATGGTGGCACCGCCTCGCCAGGCCGACGTCGGGTCTGTAGATACAGAACAGGTCACGACATCTCCTGGCATGCAGGAACCAATTCACCCGCACGTTTGCATCTGCTACCCTGGCCGTTTGCAGTCAGGTCAGCCTCAACCAGCTGCCCCACCGGCGGTAGGTTCTGATTCCGGGCTCGTTCGTCGTGTTTCTCGGCTCGCGCGTTGCTAATTAGATCGGCCCGTGGCCCGGACCTTTCGACTCGGCGCCTGCGCTTCCGCTCGCGCCCGCGAGGAAAACGCACCCCCACCAGCCCATCCAGAAACATATCGCCAGGCGAGTTGCCTTCATAAGGGAAGTGTAGAAGCATGCAATGTAACAGCCGCCTTGAAAGTGTTTTTTTTCGGAGGTTTCTTGGAGCCATGTTGGATATCTCTTCGGGTCTTCGCGGAGCCACGTGGGGTATTTGTGGGGCCTCCGCAGGGCTCTCTTGGAGGGTCTAGGGGCCCCCTTGGGGTTCTTGGGGGGCCGGGGGGCTTTGGAGGAAAGTGTGGGTTCACTGCTCAGAGGACGAGGGGGAGGCGGGGCGTAAATTCAGGTCCACCCAACGGAGGATCAAACTGACGTATGGTGGCCGTTTTGGAGCGCTTTTGGCGCGCTCTTGGGGCCGTCTTGGAGCCCGTTTGGGCCCCTCTTGGGGCCCATCGGACGCGAAACGGCGAGAAGGCAAAGGTCATATATGTCCCTTTGGTATTGGAACCATTGTTGCCTCTTGGTAGGTATTGGATCCTTGGAGGGCTCAGAGGGCATTTGAAACCGGCGTGGGGCCGCCTTGGGGCCTCTTGGATGTGCGTCGGAGGCTATCTTGAGCCATATGGAGGTATCTGGAGCCATCTCGGAGGCCATTTTGGGGTCTCTGAGGCCCTCCTGGAGCCATTTTGGGGGATCTTGGGGGCTCTGACGCCTCGCGCCCCCCCCTTCCAGGCCCAGGGAAGGGGTGGGGAGGAGAAGAGTAAACCCCTCCCCCGAGCAGGGGAAGGAGGGATTTGGGGCAGAGAGTAGACACAACTTTTTAAACGACCTACGCCCAGAGTGCTGGTGGGGTTCGGCGAGGGGTCGACTAGGGAAACTCCCGAGACGCCCCTAAGACTGCCGAGGAGGGCCCCGAGATACCACATGGATGGCCCACAGGACGGTGTGCAGGATGCCCCGAGATGCCCCAAGGGATGCATACGAGAGGCAAGGCAGCAGGGCGTTGCAGCTCTGAGTGTATCAGCGCTGGTGGATCTTGCTGCAGTAGCAGCAGTAGCAGCAATGGCGGGGCACCCTGCCCGGGCCCTCTCCCCGCTCCGCCCCACTGCATTCGCCTCTTCGGCCACTTGAGGGGATGGGTGTTGTGGGGCGGGGGGGGCTCCAAGTTCTTGTAGGATTCCACCATATTACTTGCACCTCCACAGGAATCTTCCGGATACCTTAGTGTTTCTCCGTATCCCTTACATGATGCTTATTGATTATTCCGCATCTTCTTCGATGTCTCAGAGCCCTCCAGGATGACCCCGGATTGGTATTATGGAGTCCTCCGGATTCATCAAACTTCTTCAGTAATCATCAGTGTTTTTCAGGACCTCTCAGGAGTCCTCAAGATTACGTGCGATTTTTCAAGATTGTTCACCTGCAGCCGTTGCTCTTTGCAGTGGTCGTTTACGTAGTTTGGACGACTCTTCGACATTGAGTAATCGCACATCCATTACATCCGATTGACGATTCATAATAGAGCACCGCCTGCGTCCTGGAGCAATCGTGGAATGTTGGGTGACGTCTCGGTCTCATCGCTTGCTCGCTTGCGCGAGTCTGGCGTCCTCCCTGCAGCACACCAGCACCCTGTCGGTCGTTATAGGCGGCATGATCCTGGCGTGACCTGACTGCCGCGCCTCAGACTGTGGCCTTTTTGCCCTGTGTACGTGGCACCTTGGACAACCACGGCCTGGGCCTCTCCTGCATCCTGTTCGATGGCACAACGTTGCACTCCGGCCCAGCGGTGCTTCTCACCCTCTCGGGCGTCGCCCTGGATACGTGGTGCGTCCTCTCCCGCGGCCACTTGAGGCTGGTGTACATGACACGCCGCTGACGGCACCACCACCACAGCATTTTGTTTCTTCCAGCACTTCGCCACCGGGTTCCTGTACAAAGCATCCCTTTGCAAGCACATCGTCTTCGGCACCGCCTGATTCCGGGGCTTTGCCCTCTCTTGGCCTTGACGTGAGGCCCCTCCTTCTGCCCCCCCTCTGTCAATTAAAGCACTGCGCGGCCCGCTTAGCTTCGACCGGCAGAGGTGCGCTCTCGACCCGCGGATCAAAAATGTTTGCGCGAGTCTCATCTATGAATGGGGAGGTTACTGTTAGGTGTCACGCGCGTGCGCAAACCAGTGGAATCAGGCTTAGTTCAGCAAGCTGGAATCATCGAGGTGGCAATAGTGCCGGATTTGATAATGACAGCGATGGATGGTAGCCTGATTTGTAAGTCACCAAGGTCCCCACAAGTTGAAGTCTTGCAGGCTTGGCTCTCCCTGGCTTTGTACCAACCAAGCCTTGGCCTCCGATGGAGCAGGAGGAGGCGGAGGAGGAGGAGTTGGACGGGGGAGAGGAGGAGGAGGACGACGATGAGGAGGAGGAAGAGGAGGAGGAGGAGGAGGAGGAGGAGGAGGAGGAGGAGGAGAAGGAGGTTGAGGTTGAGGAGGAGAGGAGGAGGAGGAGGAGGAGGAGGAGGAGGAGGAGGAGGAGGAGGAGGAGGAGGAGGAGGGGGGGAGGGATGAGGAGGGGGGAGAAGGAGAGGGGAGGACGGACGAGGACGAGAACGGGAATGATGATGGCGATGGTGATGGTGATGATGATGGTGATGATGATGATGGTGGTGGTGTTGGTCATGATAAGGATGACGATGATGGTGGCGATGCTGAGTATGATGATGATGCTGCTGATGATGATGAGGAGGAGGAGCAGGAGGAGGAGGAGGAGAAGGAGGGGCGTCTGGCGCGCAGGACTCGAAGGAACAGATCCAGAAGGCCTTCCAGCTCTTCAAGGTCCGCCTTTGCCCTGTTGGGCACCGTAGCACGGTACATAAACGGGGTCGACTGTGCGGACACTCGCGCGTGAGCTGCTCGAGTACGGTCGGTGCGTGTCGTGTCGGCGTTGCGGCGAATCTTGCGCGGATTTAAGAGTGAATGTTGATTGGTTCATTGGCACCGAATTGGCCGATGTTGAAGGGTCTGCGCTATCAGAAGTCCGCGATCGCACACTGTTGATCCACGCAGTGACAGGAAATAAACACAAACATCGTCACGACACGAACTTGCCGTACGGCCGCGCGTAATCGCCTCTTCGTCCACGCGGTGTGCCGCGCTGGCGGCCCGCGCAACCCATTGTCAGAGGCCGTGGTGTCGTCCTGCGTGATCCCCTCTTCTTCTCGTCGCTCAGCTGACCCAGTATACCACCACCAGGCATTTGTCCACACCGACAGCATTCTGCCCGACACGGGAGGCTCGGCCCGACGGGCTTGATGCACGTGAACAGGCGTGCCCTCGTGGAGCGAGCATGGCGTAGATTCATATTCGACCCTTTCGAATTTCACGTTGACGAGTTGGACAGTTGTCGAGTGATTACACTTCACTGTTTTGGTCGCCTCTCTTTTCCAAGAACAGGCCCTGGCGAAGGACCCAACCATGAGCAGCTTCGAGTATCGCGGGGCAGGTGAGAAGGAGGAGGGGTCCAGGAAAAGGACGTTCACTGGGGGAGGGAAACCGTTGGGTTCGCGGGGGAATGAATTGTTTGGCGCGAGCCCCGTGCGTTGCCATTCCGTGCCCATGTCCTTCCCACCTCGTTCGCTCCTCTCATTGTTTCCACTGTGCGGCGTTGCGTTCCTGCCCGCTTGTCCTGCCGTAGTTAGCCTAAGCCCCGTTCCCCGCCGTTTTGCATACATTCCCAACCATCCTATGATGTTGGGTCCTCGATTTGAAGAGACGGCGCCCCGCGTTCTCCTCCTCCTCCTCCTCCCGCCTCCTTCCTTCTCCCCATATCGACCTCCAGGCTCCGACGGCCCAGCATTCCGACCTCCAGAGTCCACGATCGACCTCCCACCACCACCATCTCCAACTATCGACCTCCAGGCTCCGACGGCCCGGCATTCCGACCTCCAGCTTCTAACATTCGACCTCCTGCCATTACCATCTCCACCTATCGACCTCCAGGCTCCGACGGCCCAGCATTCCGACCTCCTGCGTCCCATCATTCGATTTTCTATGATTAAGACGGGAATTACCGCCAGTGCCAGAGCCGCCCAGCAGAGTACCGCTCATATGGATCATTTGGGTGTGGGACTTTCGGACAAAGCCGCCGATACGACCACATTTACAGCGACATCCCCATCACATACATATTTTTGGGATTCGGAAAGAGCGGGCAAAGCTACCGACCAGTCGTGCCTTTCTTTATTTCGAGCAGTGCCGGATCAATGTCGACACAAATATACGCCATCATCAACCCACATCGGTACGTAACGACTCCGGCGCCGAGAACACTACGACGGTCGCAACTACCGACGCCCAACCTCCACCTCCAGATCCCGACCTCCAATCAACCGCCGCCCCCACCTATCTGATCCGACAGCCCAGATCAGCACCAGAGCAGACATCATCGACGAAGGCAAGTACACGAACCACAACTTTCACGACGACGTCACAGGGAGGTGGGACAAAGATACCCGCATCCGTTCAGTCCAACATTGGCTTGTCTCCGACCTCCCACCTCTAACCTCTGACTCCGGGAAGCCTACAGGTACCGCCCAAGACAGGTACCGACCACGCTTCTGTATTGCGACCCCTTGCGCTTAACCCTCGGGGGATGCAGCGACCACGCCAGCGACCTGGGCTCCGACACTGACAGGTGATATTGTCTCTACAACTCCAACTCCTCACTCCGACCTTGGATTGAACATCCGACCTCCGACCTATGTACCTCTTCCCTCATCTTACCCCCACCCGTACATGTCCCAACCACGCCGTTGTATTATTTTTCCTTGCGTTTCACTACCAGCGGATGCAGCGACAACGCCATCGACCAGGACTCCGACACCAAGGCGCGCAGATGCCCTTCCAACCTCAGGCACGAACGCTTCTCATATCTGTGCCGGTTCGGCGTTGAATCTACACGAACAGGGTTACCGACACCAGCCAGGTTATCGTTCAGATTTCCAACCGGCAGCAGCCGGTTTCCGATTCCAGCCTACACCAGTCGTCTTCCAACCTCAGTTCTCAGACCTCCAGCTTCCACCCGACTTCCCTGTTCTACCCGACCTCTCACCACCACTATCTCCACCTATCGACTTCCAACCTTCACCATCTCCACGCCCCCACCTCCAGCCCCCAGCTCCCGACTTCCGACTTCCACCACATATGGATTTCCAGTTCTCACAATTTCCTGGCCCCGACCTCCAGCATCCAACCTCCAACCTCCAACCACCACCATCTTCACCTTTCGACCTTCGACCTCTGAAAGCCCAACATCGCGACCTCCAGCCTCCAGCACCCGACCTACCACGACTACCACTTCCACCTATCGACTTCTCACCTTCACCATCTCAGCGGCCCCACCGCCAGCCTCCAGCATCCGACCTCCCACTTCCACCTCAACCTACTTGCCACCGGCCTCCACCAACCCAACGCTCCGACCTCCAGCCACCACCATCCGACTTCACACCACCACCACCACCTCCACCGATCGATCTCCGTCCTGCCACTGCCACCATCGACCAACCCACCGTTCACTACCGGACAGCAGCAACAATAGCACAAGTGAGCAGTAACACCAGCCCAATTTGAGAAGCATTGGAGGAGGACGAGGCAAATACAACACAGTCGACGGCGACGTCCCCGTCAGCACACACTGGAACCACCAACGGGAGAGCGATGACGGTTGGTAAACACGACCAACATACTCCAACACCGCATCCATCGTCAACCCCATTTATTCACCGTCATACGCAAAAACGCAAGAAGCCTCACAACTGATGACTCGATAGATGCACTGTTGCACGAATTGGACGGGGTACATTGGGATGTACTTACACCATCACTGAGACATGGAGAACGGAATCTCGTGAGATGTGGATCACAAAACGCGGGAAACATTTATTCGCAGCATCGGGCCATACGGATGCGTCACGTGGAGCTGCATTTCTCGTTCATCGACGACACGTCCAACTGGTCAAACGTTTCGAAGCCATCAACGAGCGAACCCTTTACATCGACATCAGCTTCCCCAAACAGCACATCAGGATCGTGACGGCATATTCCCCCCACTCCGGCTACGCGGATATACACATACAGCATATGCATGACCATTTGGGAGCGATTCACGACGACGCCGTGCAATCCAACCGGACATGTATTATTGTTGGAGATTTCAATGCGCAAGCGGGCAGACAGCTTGCCAATGTACATGATGAGGAAAGGAACGACGACGACGAAAGAACATATCACATGAGCCGAAGACATACTGTTGGCAAATTTGGTCTGTGCTTGTGCAAGCCAAGAGAGACATGTCTCCGTGCATGGTCGAATACACGGAACATGATACTGGCAAACACATTTTTTAACAAACACGACCACATTTTGTTATCTTAAACAAGCAGTGGCAAAAAACAACCCGACGCAGACACACATTATTTACATTTTGGTAGACAGGGCACGACGAAACCAAGTGGTTGACTCGCACGCCTCCAACGTTCCAGACCTCGGATCCGATCACCAAGCTGTGCACGTCGAGATGGACCTTGAGGTCACGAAAGAAAAAGGAAACGGTGGCAACCGCACCGCGGCACGCCATCCCATCCCCCAGCCGACGACCCATTTTTTGTCAGCAGTGCTTGCACCAGCACTGGAGCGACCACAGCCACGACGCCGACTTGGACAGTAGGTACCATGGCATTGGTGAAGGGCTCAAGCTCGCATGCAAGGATTACCAGGAACACCGAGAGCAATCGGCCGGAGACCTTCAAGGACACGCCAAAGACGGACCGACAGCACGGCTCAGGGCACTCATCCAACAAAGACGCAGCCGCACCACGAGAGAGATTTGCACGAAGATCCCTTAGCAAACAGATCTTTAGACTGACAAGGGCTATCAAACGTGCCGATATGAATGCCGAGCTCGAGGAGATGGTCCGCCAATTCAATGGGCTGAAGAAATTACCAGGGCTGAAAACCAGTAAGCACAACAGCATGATCCCATCAAGGGCCACATGTGAAGGTGTCGACGAGACAGGTACACACAGCATAGCAGACGCATTCGCTACTTTATACGAGAAGCTGCACAAGGACCCGCACCGCGTAGCCATCACCGGCAACACCCACTTGCAGACGCACTACGTCTCGACCATCCCGCCTTTCACAGCAAACGAGCTCCACCAAGCAATCAAATAACTCAAGCAAGGCAGGTGCAGCGACACCGCTGGGCTCACGGCAGCCTTGCCCAAAGCAGGACGCACCACCTTACAATGCCATCTACTTCGACTATACAACGACACCATCAAGCCTGATCGCCCCCCGCCAGACCAGTGGAAGAGCACCGCCGCCACTGTAATGCACGAGTCTGGTGACCCCAAACAACCGGGCAATTACAGAACAATTGCCATCATCCTTCTGCTGTATAAGCTGATGTCTCGCCTCCTTTGCAACCGGCTCAGCGTCGACGCGCAACAATGCCCAGACCAAGCAGGTTTTCGCAATAACTACTGCACAGAGGACCATTGGTTTACCACAACGACGCTTCATGAGAGCCCTCGCGACTGGCAGCAGCCGCTCTGGACCGCCGCAATAGATTTCAAGAAAGCGTTTGAGTGCGTTGACCACGGCTGTATGTGGGCATGTGGGATGCTCTACGACAGCAACATGCACTCCCGCCTACATCACCTTCCTGCAACACTTATGTAGCACCTAAACAGGCACAGATCAGACGGAAACATACCAACAGCAGATCTTTCAATATCGCACGGGGCGCTAAACAGGGAGACCCGCTGAGCTCTCTT